AACAGTCCTTTACAATAAAAGATCTTTTGGAGGTATCTTTATCCATGACCTCAAGCTGTACTATAGAGCAACGATAATAAAAAAATGCATGGTACTGGCATAGAAACAGACTGGTGGATCAATGGAATCGAATAGAAGACCCAGGAATAAACCCACACACTTATGGACACCTGATTTTTGACAAAGATGCCAAAGCCATACAATGGAAAGAAGATAGCACCTTCAACAAATGGTGCTGGTCTAATTGGATGTCTACATGTAGAAAAATGCAAATAGATCCATACTTATCACTGTGCACAAAACTAAAGTCCAAGTGGATCAAAGACCTCAATATAAAAACAGACAACTAAACCTATTAGAAGAAAAAGTGGGGAAGATCCTTAAACTCATTGGCACAGGAGACAACGTCCTGAACAGAACACTAAGAGCACAGGTTTAAGATCAACAATCAATGCATGGGACCTCATGAAACTGAAAAGCTTCTGTAAAGCAAAGGGCACTGTCATCAGAACAAAATGCCGGGCTACAGACTGGGAAAGGATCTTCACCAACCCTATATCTGACAGAGAGCTAATATTCAGAATATATAAAGAACTCAAGAAGTTAAACAGCAACAAATCAAGTAATCCAATTAAAAAATGGTGTACAGAACTAAACAGAATTTTCAATAGTGGAATTTCGAATGGCAGAGAAACACGTAAAGAAATACTCAACATCCTTGGTCATCAGGGAAATGCAAATCAAAAGGACCCTGAGATTTCACCTTACACCCATGAGAATGGCTAAGATCAAAAACTCAAGTGACAATACATGCTGGAAAGGTTGTGGAGAAAGGGGAACCCTCCTCCATTGCTGGTGGGAATGTAAACTTGTACAACCACTTTGGAAATCAATCTGGCGCTTTCTCTGACAAATAGGAATGCTTCTATCTCAAGATCTAGCTATACCACTCCTAGGCATATATCCAAAAGATGCTCAAGTATACAACAAGGACATTTGCTCAACCATATTTGTAGCAGCTTTATTTGTAATAGCCAGAATCTGGAAACAGCCAGATGTCCCTCAGTTGAGGAATGGATACAGAAATTGTGGTACATTTACACAATGGAATACTACTCAGCAATTAAAAACAAAGAAATCATGAAATTTGTAGGCAAATGGTGGGATCTAGAAAAAATCACCCTAGAAGAAAGACACACATGGTATATACTCACTTATAAGTGGATATTACACATATAATATAGGATAATCATACCAAAATCTGTACACATAAGGAAGCTAATCAAGAAGGAGGACCTTGGGTATAATGCTCAATCCTCTTTTGGAAAGGCAAATGAGATAGACATCGGAAGATGGAGAAAACGGGGAACAGAACAGGAGCCTATCACAGAGGGCCTCGGAAAGACTCTATCCAGCAGGGTTTTAAAGAAGATGCTGAGAATCATAGCCAAACTTTGGGCAGAGTGCAGGGAATCTTATGAAAGAAGGGGGAGATGAAAGACCTGGAGTGGACAGGAGCTCCACAAGGAGAGCAACAGAACCAAAATATCTGGGCCCAGGGGTCTTTTCTGAGACTGATACTCCAACCACGGACCGTTCATGGAGACAACCTAGAACCCCTGCACAGATGTAGCCTATGGCAGCTCAGTGTCCAAGGGGGTACCCTAGTAAAGGGAACAGGGACTGTCTCTGACATGAACTCAGTGACAGGCTCTTTGATCAACTCCCCCTAAGGGGGGAACAGTCTTACCAGTTCACAGAGGAGGACAATGTAGCCCATCATGATGAGATTTGATAGGCTAGGGTCAGAGAGAAGGGGACGATGATCTCCCCTATCAGTGGACTAAGGGAGGAGCAAGGGAGAAGAAGAGGGAGGAAGGGCAACATTGGGAGGGGACAAGGGAGGGGCTACAGATGGAATATAAAGTGAATAAATTATAATAAATAAAAGAATTAAAACTATCGTGAGCCAGGATATTCCTACTGCATGCTTTCATTTTTGTGGTCTATGCCACCACCTGAAGCCATGACGGTGTCTGTAGTCCATGCTGCCCTGAGAGCTATCTCTCGGTCTGTGGTCCTACTGCAGTCAGGGGCCATGATGTCCTTATCACAAGGGCTACATAAATCGCTGTTGTCTGTGGCGCTCCCTGATGCCATGCTGATATTCTTGGCTTATGCTGCCTCTAAGAGTTATCATAGTGTCTGTGTCCCGTGTTGTGGCAGGAGACTGTGTTAATGTCCGAGGTCTGTACTGCCATCAAAGACCAAGCTGAGGTCCATGACATGTGCTGACACCACAGGCCATGTGGAAGTCTGTGATCCATGCTCCTGCTGACTGTAAAGGGCAAGGAAGCTACTTCTGCAGTGTTATCGATAACTGCAGACACACAGTTGAGAAAGAGAGATATAGAAGGTTTCTGTGACAACCTCTACCCTTATCCCATCCCACCTCCAAAAAGTGACAGCTTAGACACAAAGCCATCAAAGAGAATTCTTAAAAACCGTGATAAGGATGCTGAAGTGTAGCTTTCTACAGCTGACGGCTTCTGCTGGGGGTGTAGCTGAGGAAAGAGCCGTGTAGGAAGCACCTTCCTATGTTTGCCAGAACTGGGCAGTAGGTATGACACAGAGTTGAAGTTTCCATCTTGTCCCTGTGAATCCCTAAGTATGAGGGAGGAAGCCAGAAGGTAGGGGAAGCTGAGGGAAAGTCTAAAGGACTTGAGAACCTTATGAAGACACCACCCTAGCTGGGAACTGCCATCCCTGACCTGCTTGTTACGTAAGAAACTAAACCCCAGTTTTATTGAGTCATGATGTATTTGCTCACTCTTTATTTGTATTGAACCCAAATGCAACTGAAACAATGAAAAATTATGTTCATTCCATTCCTGTTTGTTTGTTTGTTTTTAAATTCTTCCAAGCACTTTCCACAGTATTTGGCACATTCAAAGTAAGTTCTGGCTAAATTAATAAATATCAGGTATTCTTGTTAATGTTCTAACTCAGACATCTGTTCACCCAAATCACAGTGCTCCTACCTATGTCTCTTTTTAAATTTACTTTCTGAAAGCAAGACATTTCCCACTGCAGATCTTTTATAAGGCCAAAGAGGAAAGTCAAAGAAAGCCCTGAGGAAAAGAAAGAGCGTGTGGCTGTTGGTGGCCATGGACATCAAACAGCCCGGCTTCTGTAGGGGCCGAACATCCACAGGCACCTCTAGCTTCATGTAGGCCTAGGGCAGCAGATCATGGGTACCAATATGGCGGGCCACAGAGGGGGTCCAGAAAATGGACCGTTCTTCACCTCAGACTTTCTGCTGTTGCTCAGAACCATGGCAATTGGGTGACTGGGCGGTGTGTTGGAGGGCTCAGTCTGTGAAAGCTCCAGGTTGCTGTACTCCACCCTGTCTTCCCTAGTCAGCAAGGATGCGTTTCCCCATCCACCGCATCAGCCTGTCACAGCCATCGTGTCTCCAGTTTCACCACCCTCCACTGCTCACTCACCAATGTTTCTCCATCTTTCCCACCTCGCCATTGCATAGCCATTCCTTGAGTAGCATTGGAAACTGCAGTCTATCACACTGTATTTTTTTGCCCAAACAGCTTTACATGAAACTATTCATTACCATGAGTCGTTGGTCTGGCTCAAGGTATCTGAAGCAACATAAATACTGAGCCATTGTCCAGGGCCTATCTCAGATACTTTGCCCAGAATCAAGGTGCTGTTGCAGCTAAGCAGTGTGTGTGTGTGTGTGTGTGTGTGTGTGTGTGTGTGTGTGTGTCACGTGTGTGTTCATGGCAGGTTCTGTGTAAGCTCCTGGCTCCCGCTCACCTCCCTGCCCTTGATTTCTGCAGCCCCGAGGCTCACTGGGCTTGACTTTTTCAGGTAGGCTGAAGGCAGTGATGCTGCTCCACCCTTCCAGGAGGGCAAGCCTGACACCTTTCTGCCGAGTTCCAGGCTGTTGCACATCTCGCTGGCAGTGCAAGCAGACTGAAGGCTCATCAGGCCTTTATGTCTGTAGCCTGCTGGCAGAGATGTAGGGAGAAGGGTATGGATTCATCATTTTCCACCACACACAGGTAGCTCTGTTTTGCCATCTTTCCTTCCAGTTTTGAGAGTCCACTTAAAAAAAAAAAGATTTAGTTATTTATTATGTATACAGTGTTCTGTCTGCATGTTCACCTGCACCAGAAGAGGACACTAGATCTCACTATAGATGGTTGTGAGCCGCCATGTGGGTGCTGGGAATTGAACTGAGGACCTCTAGGAAGAGCAGCCAGAGCTCTTAACCTCTGAGCCATCTCTCCAGAGTCTGCTATTTAAAAGCATCTTCCCACAAGACTTGCGTTGGAGCTATTGCAGGGCCCTGTAGACTCCTTTTCTGCCGCTGCATCCCCCTTCAGAGACTCCATGGGTGTCTCAGACTCCTTAGAGCTCCAAAGCAGGTGGTGGCAGCTGTCACCATATTTGTTTTCTTAAATATATGAGTCTAAGAAATCATCATTCCTGTAAGCTTTGTCCAAATGTATATATGTATGTATGTATGTATGTATGTATGTATGTATGTATGTATGTATGTACGTACATATAAGCATACAGACATAAACTTGTTTCTTGTTATCTGCCACTGCAATAAAATACAGAGACCTGGGTACATCCTACCCATATCAGGTAACAACTGTAAATACAAATGGAGGGGAGAAGGAATATAGAATGAATAACAATAGTTTGGACTTGGCAGTGGGGAGAGAGAAAGAAATAGAGACAGACAGAGACAGAGAAAAAGACATACAGAGAGACAAAGATACACACACACACACACACACACACACATTCCTGGTAGTCTTGACATGGACACACCACAGGAACTAAGCTCTGAAAGATGAGAAACCTTAAAGTGAGAAGGATAAGCAGAGCTACTATGACATGGTCATGTTTCATCTGTCAAAACATGTATGTGTGGATTTTCATAGAACTTTACTTTCTTTTATTTGCAGGGGTATGGACATGTTTTTCATCACAAGATCAAGCACAAACATATCCTGGCTAAAAACTATTTTTCTCAGGTTCCAGTGCTGGCTGCCCTTTTACAGGAGGATGAGGAAATAGAGGAGATCAGAAGTAAATACTTCACAGTGAAGCCACCCAAAATCATAGAAGCCCATGGGCCTCAACAGGAGTAGACCCAGGAACATCATTTGATGATGATCCCTTTCGTTCTCTACTAAAAGAGCATTGCAGAGGTTATGGACAGTGGAAAATCACCTTTGTATTTCTGTTGGTATTATCTGCTTCATTCATTGTATTTTAAGTTATATGAATAGAAACAACTATGTATACAGGAACCATTTTTTGGTGGCTAGTGTTAAATTAACTTGTAATTTTGTTACTAAGATTAATGGTTAAAAGGAACATTTTATTTAGTCTGTTTTCATGTTAACTTAAGGGAAAATAAATGCTTTATAATCAAAATACAACAGGCAAACAAAACCTTGGCCATTATACTGTTTCACGAACATAATTTATTTAATACACTTTGAGTGTAATCATTCTCTCTATATAAGCCTGAATTTGATATAAGCAAAGACGTAAGACTTTTTTTTTACGTTTATTCTCTACTTTTAACTTTTAACTGGATAATCCAAGAAAGTAAACTGAAAACAAACAAACATAAAAATCTGCATTGTATGCCACAAAAAAAGGCAAACAGCGGGAATGCTTTTTATGAAGGGCAATTTCTGTGGGGAAATGTTGAGATTCTGTAAGAAGCACAGACTTCATCAAATCCACTGTCCACTACTTCTCAATAAACTAATCAATAACCTGGACTCCATACCTGTCTGAAATATGTTCTAATGAATGATGACGTATCCAAAGGTGGCACACTCGAAATAGCATGATTTAAGCCTATTTATAAAGGACCCTGTTCTAAAACACACATGATGTTGGGAAACAAAAGGAACAGCACAGGAACCCAGGGTCAGATGAGATCTGCTGAATGTACCCCACAGTCTCCAGTACCCTTGTGGAGGAAGAAGTCAGGGAGCCCAGAGAGAATGAAAAGGAGATAAGGAAATCACTAAAGGGACTAGCAGCCAGCCTGCAAGGCAACACCCAACTTAAGATGACCTCAAGAACCAGAAAATAAATCCTTAGTTTCACACTTTGCTACAGTTGCCTTCTCCAGTTAGAAAGACTCAAAAGAAAAGAAGCAGAGAATCAAAATTCATGTGGCTTTAGGGGAAAGGGCAGGGAGGATACTGGTTGAACAGATGGGAAGCAAATTAGAAAACATTGGGAGGAAAAAAAGAACCTGAAAGTGAGGATATAATTCAAATAGAAATATTTCACTTACATCATAGAATTATAGAAAACACATATGTTAGTCTATTCCTATGTAAAGGATGTTTTCCTTTCAAGTCCAATGATTAGCAAATTCAGTATAAATGTTGACTCCATATAAACATTTGATATTTTAGCAACATGTATGTAATATCTACAGTGCTTCCTTACATAGTAACGGTGTGACACTTCTCAATTGTCCTTAAGGAAATAATATTTAGGAGAAAATTCTGTTTCACTTTTAATTGGCATTCCAGACAGCCTGAAAACTTTTTTAACAAAAAAAAATTCAGTTGAGACTAGAATAGGACCAGTGTGGTCATTGATATAATGGGAACAGTTTATCACAGACACAGGCAAGTTTACACAGGGAGGAAAATAACCAAGTTTTTGTAACACAGTTTAGGAGAAATTATCAGCTCAGCGAAGAATTGGGAGGGTGGTGTGGGAGAAAGAGCCAGACAGGTCAAGTAAAGGATTGTGGGAATGCCTTTGATTCACTGGTGAAACAGCAGTTAGCTAGAGCGCTGGCTCTTAGGAATGGGGGGCACGAGGTAAACCGAAGGAAATAGACATATGAGACCCAATAACTAGAGGTTAGGTTAATTATCTCCCAGATCATCCTGCTTCTTCCTTGGTCCATTGGTAATGGTGTGTTTCTCTAAGATGGTGTTTTGGTTTACATCTACCTCCCACATGGCACAACTCTCCTTCAACTTCCTGCCTTTCCTTCCAGCTTTCCAGATTTACCTTGAAAGTCTTTGGATTTTTGTAAGAAAATTTAAGATGCTCTGCTTTTGTTGATTTCAGCAGTGCCCTCTGTTTTATAGAGAATTCTTTTTATTAAATGCTTCTCAAATTAAACAATTTGAGTGTGTGTATTAGTTACTCTTCTGCTGCTGGAATAAAATGGTATGACCAAAAGCAAGGTAGGGATTCATTCTGGTTTCTAGTTCCCTGTCTGTATTCCAGACACAGTTCATCATGGCGGGACAGCCCGGCAGCAAGCCTCTGCAGCCAGCCCAGGAGCTAAGAAGTTGGCTACTCACACTTCATTCTCACATAGAAACAAGATAAGGAAGACAGGACTTGGCCCAGGCTATAGAGCGTCAAAGCGCTACCAGCGACACCTCCTCTATTAAGGCTCTATCTTTTAAAGGTTCCATAATTTTCTCAAACAAAGCCAGTAGCTGGAGACCAAAAGTGCCGCAAACCTAAGTCTGTGGGGAGAGTGTGTACTCAGATCACAACAGCGTGCCAATAGGTTCTTGATGGGACCTTACCAAGCAGTAATTGATCTCTATGAGCACTCTCTCGAAGTTAAGCTGAAAATGGAGCATTAAGCTCAGATTGTTCACCTGTTTGACTTCCTGTCTAGGGAGGAGCAGGACAAAGGTAAAATACAACGTACGGGAACATGGACACTGTTGAGACTGTCAGCAGCTGGCACAGTATGAGGCGTGGATGGAAAATAAAACATAAAGGCAGGGAAACTAGTGACTATGTTAGTTGTTTCCCATCACTGCGGCCAAACAAACGCTTCAGGAAAACATCAGATCAGGAAAGACTTCTTCAGGCCCCTGTTTTCAGACGTGTCGGAACATGTTTGACTGGCTCTGCTACTAGAGGCCTGCGTGACACAGCAGACATGCGTTAGGTGTGCTGCTGCTTGCCTGATTCCAGCTCTGTCTCTCTGTCTCCATCTCTGTGAGAGAGCGATCTCAAGGAGCTACTTTCCCCAGCCAAGTCCCCCATCGTAGATTCCTCCTACTCATACCCTCACAGCATGAATTCACCAGAGGACTACTGTGCCGACTGTGTTAGACCACGCAGAATTCATCACTATCCAAAGGAGTCCAGCAACTAACTGCAGAGGCATTTCAATTGAAGCCTCACTGGTCACTTTGCTCACAAACACTGGCATAGCATGAGTATGTCCTATGTTAGAGAGTATTCATTGGAAAAAAAAAAAAAAGATAACTCAAAGGTGTTTAATGGCCAGCTTAATGCCCTGTCAACAATCCAGAAAGGAGCTGCAGAGAAAGCTCTTATTTTCCATCTATATGGGAAAGATGTGACTAAAGATTAAAGCTGGACTGTTAACCAATTGGTTTCCCATAGTAAGGGGAGCAGGGACTATTTCTGACAGGAACTCAATGGCAGGCTCTTTGACCTCCCCACCCCCTATGGGAGGAGCAGTCCTGCTAGGCCACAGAGGAGGACTTTGCAGCCAGTCCTGAAGATACCTGATAAAACAGGGTCAGATGAAAGGGGAGGAGGTCCTCCCCAATCAGTGGACTTGGAAAGGGGCAGGGAGGAGATGAGGGAGGGAGGGTGGGATTGGGAGGGAATGAGGGAGCGGGATACAGCTGGGATACAGAGTTAATAAAATGTATCTAATAAAAAATAAAAATAAATAAAGGTGGACTGTTATTGTAACATTTACACTGTGACAATTAAATGGGAACAGATGTCAGATTTGATAGTAAGGTAAGGAGCTTGGGTGGGAAAATCAAGGTGTAGTCTGCTGTGAATTAGCCTGTACACCGAAGGAGTTGCAGAATTGTGACTTTTTAAAAAATTATGAGAAGAGCATATACAACAGTGTATTTTATAACGGTTTGTACTATAAAATATGAATCAAGATAAGTTTATGTTCTTGTCTCGGATTCAGGATTTGATGTGTTGTATTGAAGCTTGGAATGTTACTAGATATGTTTAACTGAATCCTATACTAAATATGGCCTCCACCAATGACAGGTGGTCTGTAGTGGAACTATATGTGTAAACTTTAGATGCTGCCTCACGTGGTTTCTTAACATAATTGTTATTGGGCTGGAAAGATGGCTCAGTGGTTAAGGGTTAAGAGCATTCTCTGTTCTTTTAGTGGTCCTGAGTTCAATTCCCAGCAATCATATGGTGGCTCACAACCATCTATATTGGGATCTGATGCCCACTTCTGGCGTGCAGATAGAGCACCCATATACATACATAAAGAAATAAATCTTAATAAACAGATAATTGTTATGTGAGCACTCAAGGTACAGAGGTTGACGATGGCCAGCTCAATGTCAGCAAGTTCCAAGGTAGGTTGGAATTAATGGTGAATCCTTGTCAGGAAAGAAAGAAGGGAAGACAAAAGGGAAGGGAAGAAGGAAGGATTTGACTAGTAGATTTTCAGCATCATTGAAAATCTCCAGAATTCCTGGTCCCTGTGTTCTTCAGGGAATGATAGGAAGAGAAGCCAATAATCTTGTTTAATGGAAATAATATGATGCTTTATGCTACAATGCAGAGTGCATAAACTTAAATATTTGAGAAAGAGTCTTAGGAGCTGTAAGAAACTGGACAGAAAAAAATAAATAAGCAAAGAAACACAAAGGTAGTATTGATGAAAGTTATACTGAAATTGGAGCCTTGAGCCCTAGTAATGAGAATGCAAAATGGTATAAAAATACTATGGAATTTCCTCAAAAATTGGAAGTAGCCAGGCATGGTGGCTCATATCTGAAATCTCAGCATTCAAAGGTCCTGAGACCAAGAGGATTGCTGTGAGTTTGAGGTCAGCCCGTGCTGCACAGTTAGGTCCAGGGCAGTCTAGAACACAGAATGAGGAGTTTTCTTAGAAACTGAGAGTAGATTGGTCCAGCCATCCCATTTCTGGGTAATTAGGTTCTCAGAAAAATATTGGTTCTGCCCTGTTCAGTGAACTATCAGCAATAGCTAAAATTATGGAACAATTTAAATGGAAAATTACTGAAGTCTTTAAAAAGTTATGCAATATTCAACTATATTGATGAACCTTGAGGACATTATATTAAGTAAAAATGTCATCATAAAAACCAAAATTTTTATAATTCCAGCTACATGAGGCATCTAAAATAGCTACATTCAAACAATGTACAGAATTGCTGTTGTCATGGGCTCAAGGAGAGAGTGAAAAACTAAGTCTGCTAGTCAATGAGTATATAATATCATTGATGAAAGATAAAATAAGTTCTAGATACCCAGCTATACCACATTGTCCCTGAAACTATCAATACACTATTATACGGCTAAAATAATGTTAAGCTTCAATTTTACCTA